TTGTTTCCTTTGCCCCTCATTTTCATAGCTTTGGCCCCTACTGCTACCAGGGGGAGGGTGCTCATCAGCCCTCGCAGGCTCTCCCTGCTGGCATGGCAAGGCCCTCAGAGCTGTCTCCTGCTGTCACCTCCTGCCCCACAGACAGGTTTAGGTTCTGGGCCAGAGGCTGTTGGGAGGCCCAGTGGGGATGAGAGGCAGCCAGGGAGAGGGAAGTTGACGGAAGTTCCTGGGCAGAATAATAACAATGTGCCACATTTTAGCTGCAGCAGTGCCTGCTGCGCCCTCCCCCATCACTTTGCACGTGCGACGCAGAGCAGTCGCCTAAAGGGCCTCCAGGGTCTGAGCCCCACTTGCAGGGAGTGCTGTGTGCAGGCGGGTGCACGTTGGTGTCTGTAATTAAAAATGAGCACGCCTCACTTCACCCAGTGAGGAGACGCCACCACCTGGGGTGGGATGCAACAGCTGTTTGCTGGCTGTGTGGCTGCCCAGCTGTCCAGCCTGGCGTGGAGGGATGGGCAGGCCTGGGCAGCCCCGGGTGAACAGGGAAGCCAGGGCCTCTCACGTCAGTAAGGGAGGAGGTTACGGGGCCGTGATTGGGTAGAGACAACAGAGCAGAACTCATCTTTTTCTGGGGCTCAAGTGGAGGTGGGGGATGTGCGACCCAACCCTTGGCCTACACCCACTGCCTCATCCTTTTGGGGATTTGAGGCCACCTAGCACTGAGCAAACCCAGCCTCTGGGCAGCCTGGGAGTAGGATCCACCCTCAGTCTCCACCTGGACCTGACCTTTTCTGCCCCACAACCCCTCCCCACCCCTAGCCAAAGCCAGGGTATGGGTTGGTTGGTGCCCAGATGGGAGTAGTTCAGGTTTTCTCTCTCCCCCCTCCTCCCTTCCCCTGATGCAGTATGAACTCCCTGGGGAAGCACTGTGGGTGCTGTGGAGAAACCTTGGCCATCGAAGCCTCTGCAGGAGTCCTGAGCTGTGTGGGCCAAATTTGTGCCCCTCACCCAGGAATGAGCTCAGCCTGAGGTGAGAAGAGAATCTGTGGTGTGTTCCCAAGGTAGCTGAGGCAGTGGCCCCATGGTGGCCTGTGTATACCGCTCCTTCCCTGGTGTGCCAGCACTCCCAATGGGGCGGGGGGAGCCCATGTCAGCACAGTAGGGGTATTGGGGAAGTGCTGCTGAGGTCCCCTGGAAATCCCTGCATTGTGGGTGGTGTTCCAAGTCCCCCTCTTGTTTCTGCTATGGAAAGCAAGCCTTGGAGATGTGTTTGAGGGACTAGAACTCCTGAATCCAGTTTCTAGCAGTTCCTGGTGGCACCTTAGCTTGATGACTTCTTCCTATTAGGTGGGGAGGATTGTGGATGTCTGCATTTCTCCTTTCTTGGAGAGAGACCTTGTGGGCCCCTTGATTCTGGGTGGGAGTGAGTTGCTCTGGGTTGTGGCTTCATCAGATGGCCAGTAGCTTCAGTGGCCAGAGTAGGCTCCCCTGTGCTGATGATGCTTCCTGGAGCCTCTGGCTGTCTGGGCTCTGGGAGGGGGTGTGCCCAGGGCTGGAAGGATGCCAGGCCCATTCAGGCCCCTTTTCCCAGCAGTACCAGCCCAGTGTGGCATTGACTTGGTGTCCTTGGCCCTTGGCAGTCTGTTCTGCCCAGGGCTCCCTGGGGCTAGCTGAGGGAGAAGCAGCTGGTGTTGCCTTCCTCCAATGATTTTCCAATATTTATCAGCTCACTGACATGCAGCCCAGGCCACAGCTCCTGCTGTGTGGTGAGGACCTGAGAGCTGGCCCATGGTTACCCTCTCTTCCGTCAGAGTCTGTACCTGGCTGGGAGGGAAAGGTCTTGTCCTCTGCCTGATCATTTAGGGACAGGGTTTATGGCTAGTCCTGTCCCTCCTCCCCTGCCCCAGTCCCTATTGGGCACATTATTGCTCTGGGGGCAGAACAGGGAAGGGGTCTTGAGGGGCCCCGGGGACAACTATAAACCCCTCTCTTGCCTATCAGCTTGAGTTGGAAGTTTGCGCCTTTGCCGCCTTCCTGCTCCTCTCCTTTGCCCCTGAGTCTGAATTTTGACAGGATCTGGCATGTGCTAAAATGATTTGAGGCTAAGCCGTCAATGAGATTTTTAATTAGCTCCATGCCTCCCTCCACTGGGGAGAGCCAGGGGCCCGCAGGTGGTAGGGGTAGGACCAGGCTGGGCTTGGGTGGGAGGCTGCCCCTCCAGGGGCCTGGGGGCAGGCTTGGGCAGCTGGCACTCCCTGTGTGGGATGCTGCAAGGAGGGAGAGCTAGGCAGGGAAGGAAGGGCTGTGTAGCCAGGCCAGTTTTCTCTCTCTCCTCTGTCTCCCCTGTTTCTCTGTTCTCCCCGTTGGCTTTGAGATGAAGGCGACGGCAAGGATGGAGGATGCAGTTTCCATGGCAACGGGGCTGTCCACAGCCAGGCAACTTCAGAGCCGGGCTCTCCGGAGGAGGCAGATGCGCAGAGCAGCCGCAGAGCTGCCTCCCGCCTGCCAATGAGGGGGCTGGCAGAGCAGGTGGTAAGGGTGGCTGCCTGGTACTGCCCACCCTGATGCCCAGCCTAGAGCAGAGAGTGAAAAAAGGACTACTCCCTCTTATCATCCCTGTTACTTCCAGAAGGGAAGCTTCAGGCAGGTGGCTTGAGTGTTGACAAGGGTTGGGGTAGGGTTCCACTGTCCCTGGAATTTCTTGGTGGTCATAGGTTCTGGTTCCTGGGAGCATCCCCCAAAGCCAAATGTCTGTAGCCCTTGAGAGATGGGCCACCAGGTTGATGACCACTTAACAGATTTCCTCTGGACCTTTTGAATGCCCAGAGAGAACATGGGCGTGTTGGTGAAAACCATGCCCTGATTAGGTTTGGGGGCCTTTTTCTTCCCTCTAACTACCAGGGAAGGACCTGGACCTTCTTCAGGGAGCCCCCTGACCCTGGGCTTGGTGACATGGCTCAGTTCACTGAGTGGGGCTCAGATTTGGCAGATGCTTGTTCCCAAGTGCTGGCCGTAGAGTAGCCCCAGAGCATGGCAGCTCCTGTTCCCTGACACCGTGTTCTTGTTCCTGAGGACCAGGGCTGGGTGAGTGTGTGGGCAGCTGGAGAAGCAGAGGCACCCGTCGGTGTGTGCGGAGATGGGAGGGGCTGGGCATGTGGACTCATGAGGTGGCACAAAGAACACCCAGGTTGGCAAAAAAAGTCCTGGACTCAAGCTATTAAAAATAATGACTTTCCTCCACTGACCCTGGGGTACCAGGGGTGGGGTGTCCTCTCTGTGTTTGAGCACATAAAGCCTTAGGGTGCAGGGCCTTGCTTGGGTTACCCATGCAGTCAGACTAGCTGAGCTGCAGCTAGACTTTGGCCAGGCCAGCTACCTCCCCTATGGGCTCCTAGACAAACCCTGTCCCCCAATGGCTGCTGAACACCCTGGCTCATAAAACTTCCAGGCTCACCTTTCTTCTTGTTTTTCCCTGGGTGGGGGGGGGGGTTCATTTTTTACTCCTCTTCACTGCTTTAATTGGAAGGGGTTCCTCAATCCTAATGTTGGCCAGGCAGGTGGACAAGTGGAGTCCTAGAGTGGCTTCTCCCTACCAGGCGATAAGTCTTTCATTACTGCTAAGTAGAAGGCTCATTTCAGAGCTCGTGGTGAGAGCCAGGCGGGTGCTATAAATAGTCGTGTTGTGAAGGTTGGCGGGTGAGCAGTGACAGGGCAGGGGCCTCACAGTCATCTTAGTGGGTAATTGTGCTCCATTGCAGGAAACGGGGGCAGGCTGGGGAGCAATATGCTCTTGACCCCTGTTCTGATTGTTCCTGCTTGCCTTGGTGCAGCTCTGGCATGCGTCTGTGCACCATTTCACACACATTGGGGGAGGGGAGCTTTGGGCTCTGGGTCCAGGCAGAGGGGAGTGCCTGTCTCAGAACTTGGGGCCCTATAAACTGGTACTTCGGCCCACTGGGGAGTCGGGATAATGTCCAGTGCTAGCTCTACTTGTCCTGCCTACTCCTCTAGCCTAGGGTCTGCCTCTTCCCCCTTGGCTGAAACTGGGCAGGTGCTAAAAGAGGTTGGAACCAACCACATCTGATAGTCCTGGAGGTTGGCATAGACCTGAACTAGGAGGGAATGGGAGTGGAAGAGGGGTTTTGCTGGCCTGGAACCCCTGTCTAGGGTTTGTCAGTAACATGTCTGCAAGGGCAGGGGCTGGAGGCCTGAGGGTCAGGGGCCCTGGCCTTTCCTGAGATCTTGGGGTCAGTCAACATTGTCCAGGGTGGGAGGAAGTCACAGCCAGGGGATCCTGAGATGGGAAGTCTAGCAGGTCAGAATTTGGCTTGGCTTGGCTTGGCTTGGCTTGGGTGCCTGGGGCCATAGTCCATGGGGTCCCTGTCCCTGGGGTAGTCGGGTGCTAAGCATCATGGCTCCTTGAGACTAGTGCTTTTTGGAACAGCCTTTTGGTTGCAGACGTATGGATAGGTTGGTTTACTGGTGCCAGGGGCAGTGCCAGTCCCCTGGATTCTTTTTTTTTTTTTTAAGATTTTATTTATTTATTTATTTATTTGAGAGAGAGAGAGAGACAGAGAGAAACAGCATGAGAGGGGAGAGGGTCAGAGGGAGAAGCACGCTCCCCGCCGAGCCAGGAGCCCGAGGTGGGACTCGATCCCAGGACTCCGGGATCATGACCTGAGCTGAAGGCAGTCACTCAACCCACTGAGCCACCCAGGCGCCCCCCCCCCCGATTCTTTTGTCACCTGTCCTAGGGTGTTGTCTGAAGGACTGCTGGGTCCTTAGATCACTGCCTCCTGGAGTATGGGGTCCTGCCCTTAGGGTGCTCTGTGTGTGTCTCCCTCAGCAAGGGTTTGGTACTTGGGGGAGATTGAGGCAAAAGGTGGAGCCAGTCCTCTGGGAGGGGGTGAGTAATAGATAATAGTTCCTAGGGCCTCTTAGGGACAAGTGGGTCAGAAGCCCTGTAGGGCTCATTCTACCTTCTGCCACTTTCTGACAAGGAGCGGAAGCTGTGTGCCCACCCTCGGCTGGAGATCTACCAGCAAGACCAGATCTATTTCATGTGCCCACTGGCACGGCAGGGAGACTTCTATGTGCCTGAGGTGAAGGAGACAGAGCGGAAAAGCCGGGGGCCTGCGGAGGCCAATGACACCCAGATGGATGGCACAGGTATGGAGGGTGGGGCCCTGTGTGGAGCCTATCCCTGGACATTGGGGGGCATGGTGGAGGAGGCTCCTCTCTGGCTGGGCTGGCACTGTGGGTATCCAGGCTAAGATTGGCAGAGGTGGAGGAAGGAGACCTGCCTACCCCAGGACCCACATGAGAATTGCGTTTCTAGATACGTGGATCCATGCAGATTGGGTTCACATATGTTAGCACTGGCAAGGATACAAAGACCCTGCCTGAATTCCCTCCAGATGCAACGGGGAGTACCCTTGGAAACAGATGCTCATGGGAGGGGGATGGGGCTGTTCAAGAAAGGCATCACTTGGGTGGGGCTCAACAGGAAATAAGATTGGCACTGGATCTGGAAGGTAAAGAGGAGAACAAGGTGTTCCCAGGACGGAGCCCTACCCAGAGACAGCTGCTTTCTCCCTGCTGAAGAACAACCAGAGAGCATGCAGGGGGGGCCAGGAGATCAGTGCCCTGCCCCTTCCACCCCAGCCAGCCTTCATCCTCCAGGTCCAGGCCAGCTGGTAATTTGCCTGCTCTTAACCCACCTCCCTGCCGTCACTTCTTGTGACCCTGGGCTCTCCCCAGGAGCAAGGGGGCCTGCTGGTAACATCCCAGGGGGCCCAGCCCTAGTCCCTGCTGCTGGAACCTTGTGTGACAGTGGCAGTCTATGACCTGTGGGAGTGGTCCACTCCCCCCAGTGGACAGCTGGGAGGAGAGTAGTTGTCCCTCCTTCTTTGGGAGACTTCCTCTGTCCAACCAATCTCCAATAGCCAAGGTCACCCTAGAGAGGCGTATGTTGTGGTGGGGGGTAGGGGTACTGAGAGGCAGTCTCTACTCCCTAGAGGCCGTGTCCAACACAGTTAACTTCATCTGCTGTTTAATTACCTCCATGGGGCACTGTTCCCACCCGCCTGGTAATGCCCGGCAGACATTCCTACTGTGAGCACAAGACATGGCACAAGGTCAGCAAGCCCAGGCAGTCTCCAGGGCAGGAAGGGAGAGTGTCTTGACCTTCCTTTGACCTCCCTCTGCGGCCTACACTCCAGTCCTTGGCCCACCCACCCAGCTTCTCTCCCAAACACCACCTGCCAGGGGTGTTGAAGGACTGCTTGGCACCCGCTACAGCTGGCTTCAGCGGCTGTCCCATGCCCCCAGCGCCTTGGCCTGTGTTCCCCACTAACCTGCCCGCCCACTCCCTGGGGGGCGGCGGGGGGTTAGGGGTCTGCCCACCTTTGACAGGGTCTGCCCTGACACCCAGGAAGGACTCTGAGTGTGCCTGCCAGGTGCATGCCATTTGCACGGCAGTGTGTGCTGGGCGCCTGGCTGCCCAGGGCTTGGCCTGCCCCTGATTGCCTCCCCACTGGGTCCCCCACTTGGGCTAAGAGGTGAAAGGGGGTGATTAGCTGCCTTATGCCTGTTATTACATTGATGTATTATTTAGCTCCAGAGAGGCAATGAATATTTGATCTTGCACTGGCTGTGGGCAGTGGAGGAGGGAGAGATTGGGGTGAAGGTGGCAGCTTCATTCTCTGCCCCAGCAGCCCTGGAGACTTAGGTGCTGCCCTTCCTTGCCTGGCCTTTTCTGCCCTGGGACACATGCCCAAGACTCTGGAACTTCCTCTGGTGCAGACCTTGGTGGGGCTGGAGGGATGCCATTTCCCTGCCTTGGACTTATTTGCCAGAAGTGTCCACATGTCCCCACAGGGGCTGGCCTCATATTAGCATACTGGGTGCCAGCCTGAAGGGGCATCCCTGGGCTCCATCCTCTGATTATTCCTAGCCTAGGAGCTGGGAGAGAAAGGAGTCAGCCTCCTGGCAAGCAGACAGGTTCCCATACCCAGGTCCCAAGAGAGCCATTGGGTGACCAAGAGAGGTGGGCTGGTGGAACATGATAGTTTAATGGGGCCTAGGAGCCCCATTTCATTTGTTCCTTTCAGGCCTGCAGCCCCTGGGGCACTGATTATCCCCATTTAAGGAATGAATAAGGGGCTGGAGTCCTGCCCCAGAGTCAGAAGGAACCACCTATAACTCAGGGTAAAGCTCAGGCTCACTCTTGGCTGCCTCTATTCTGGGAGCCATGACTGGGGCCCCAGCAAGAAGAGGACCCTGGGCCAGTAGGCTGGCACTTCCAGAGCCCACCTCACCTCTGCCAGTAGACCCAAGGGGCATCTTCTCGGGGCTGAGGGAACTGGAGGAGCAGATCCCAAATGCCCCCCACACTTATTTTAGTCCCCATCTGAGGTGCAGTGAAAGTTCCAGGCCAAGTCCACATGCCAAGCAGTCCCCAGCTGCTCCTGGCTTGGGGCTACGTCACCATGGAGACAGGATCTGGGCAAATTGGCCCATCCCTCACCTCTGATGTTTGACAGCTGCCCCTCTCCCTCTCACACAGAAGGGAGGCATATCAGCCTTCTCTCAATCTGGATTCCTACACAATGGGCCTGAGCTCTTTGTCCCTTCCTGTTCCCCCTCCCACCCCCCGCCAGCTGTTGTCACTGCCTCTGATCTGGGGGGGTGAATTGAGGGGTTGCTCCTGGACAGGGCAAATGAAGTGTCTACTTGCCTGGAGGACGTGTTAGGGTGGAAGGAACAGACTGGGAGGGATCTGGACCCTCAGCCCTGTCTCAGGGCTTTCCAGCTGCCAGCAGAGTGCTCTCATGGTCCCCTTCTGCTGCTTTGTGGCTCAGGAACCACCAGTAATGGTTGGGGATAATTAAGGGCTCCTCTGGGGTGACCCAGGCATAGGGGAAGAAAGCCCTTAAAATGCTTTATCCTAGTACCCTCCTTCCTTGCAACTGGTTTCTCCGGACTTCTCCATCCCACTTCTCCCTGCCCTAGCTGCCTCCTCAAATCAGGGCTCAACGGGGGCCAGAGGCTGAAGCCAGCTGCCTTCCTGGATATGGCTGTTCCTTGGGGAGCCCCACATGGGGGAGGGGACAAGAGAGTAGGCCTCCTGGTCCATTCTCCTGTCCTCATGCCTTATGGGCACTGTCTATAGCTGGCCTTGGACAAACCTCTCTCCAAGCCTGAAATGAGGTGTGGAGGAGGGGACATTACTTGAATCTCTTTGTTCTACCCTCAGCTCCTCACCTCAGGGCTGAGTGGTCCTTAATGGACTGTTGGGGAGTGGGGAGCAGCAGGCTTTGTGGGAGCGCAGGGAGTTGTGAGGCTAACCCAGGGGGAGGGAGAGGAGTGCACAGGCTGCCCTCCCTCCCTCTCTCTGTGCATGCAGCTCTGGTCAGGGCAGAGGGCAGCTAGAATGAGCCTCCTGAGCTAGGGCCCACTTTATTATTCACGAGCACACTGTGCATGCTGGTTCCTGAGCAAGTGGTAGGGTGTCTGTCCTCTCCCTGGAAGAGGGGATGGGGGTCCTAGTTAACGTGTGTTCCCTCTTCCTGGCCCAGGAGCTGATACGATGAGTGACACAAGTTCTGTGAGCCTGGAGGTGGGTCCTGGCAGCCGGGAGACTTCAGCTACCACACTGTCCCCTGGGGTGAGCAGCCGTGGCTGGGACGACGGTGACACCCGCAGTGAGCACAGCTATAGCGAGTCAGGCGCCAGTGGCTCTTCCTTTGAGGAGCTGGACCTGGAAGGCGAGGGACCCCTAGGGGAGCCAAGGCTGAGCCTTGAGGCTGAGCCCCTTGGGGCTTCCAAGTGGCCCCGGGAACCTAGTACTCCTGAGAAGGGTGAGGAGTAGCCCTAGGCCCGCACCCTCCTGGGGTGCATTTGCTAAGGAACTGAGAAGACTCTCCAGTCCTCTTCCTCCTTCACCTCTCAGGCCCAGGCTGGGGCCAGGGGTCTCGGGGGGACCTGATTTCCACTGCCCCGGGCCCTAGCTAAGCCTTCTTACTGGCCTCTCGGCTCCCGGGGCCAAAGGAGCCAGGGACTGTATTCTGCACCCAGACCCCGGGGCTACCGCCCCTCTGACATGTTTTTTCAGAGTCACATTGGAGCTTCCAGGACTCAGAATAAAGCAAAAGATTTTCTCGTTTCACCTGGATTTGGGCTGTGCATTTGTGTGTGTATTTCACCTCAAGGAGCCCTGTGCAGATAGGCTGGGACTGGGCAGGAGTACCCCCAGCCTGAGGGGAGGAGGAAATATGGCAAGGTACTCTGGGGTGAGAGGAGGAAAGCGGTATTGAAGGCCCTCCACTCCCGGCTTTGTGGCCCCAGGTGATGCCTGCTCGTCCATTGCAGCAGCCCCAGAGGCTCCCCCAGGCTGCTGGGCAACAGGCAGAGCAGGTCAAGGGGAGAGCGAGCCCAGCATGGGGTGCCCTTCAGGGCTCAGGAGTGGGGAGCTCACAGCCTGCCTTTGCTTCCAAGGGATGCCTTTGTGTCTGGTTTGAGTGTGGCTGGCCTTATGCTGGTATCTGCTCAGCAGGTGAGGCTGTCCCTACTTGCCTGCCAGTGTCTGTGTACCTGTGTGTGTACATGCACACATGCGTTTGGTTCTGTGTGTGTAACCATGGATGCGTCTGCTCGTGGTGGCAAGCTGGGCCCAAGCAGGCAGTAGGATATGGTTGGGGCTGGGTACGGCTGTATTTGTGCAGATGGCTATGTGGTTATGTGCACGTGATGCTGTTAACTGTATGTGACGGTACTAATAGGGGTGTGAGACTGGCTAGCTAGGAGCATCACTCTGGGGGCTTTGTCCATATACAGCTGTCTGTGTGTAGCTATGTGTCTGTGTACAGCGGTATTGTGTATTCATGTGTAAAACTGTGTACTTTTCTGTGTCCAGATGTAAAGCTATAGGTCAGTTCAGCTGTGTCTGTGAGTTTAGCTGTGTGTAGACACGTATGGCTCTATGTATGTGACTTTGTGTCGATGAATACAGTTGTGTGTCTGCATGCAAAGCTATGTGTTACTGCTGCATCTGTGTGTACAGCTGTGTGAGGTTGCACGTACGTCTCTGTGTGTGGCCATGTCCATATGTGCAGCTCTGTAGTGCTGGGCGGCTGTCTTTGTGTGCACAGCTGGGAGTGGTGGCCGCATAGCTGGGTGCATAACTGCAGTTCCGCGCGCTGCAACAGGACTGTGTAGCCCACTTGCCGTGGGCCGCGTAATGGGCCTCTGGGACTGGTGCTGTGTTAAAGCCCTAGGTGTTTTGTGAGGCTATCTTAGTGGGCCGGGATTGCTATGCGGCTCCTCTTACCTCAGCACCCTGCTGCTATCAACCCTTCTGCTCCAAGGGCCCAGCTCATCACTCACCTGCCCCAGGCAGCAGTTGCTTTGAACTAGCCAGAGCTGGAAGACAGTGTATCTGTCTCTCCAGCCTTGTCTGACAACTCTGAACCCTCATCCTGCTGTCATCTCACCTCCCATTAGCAGTTGAGTTTGGGTTTGTTTGGGTTTGATGTGTTTGTCTGTTTCACAGCTGTGCTTTTGCCAGCACAGTGGGGCATTGGGTTTCTGTGTCCAGAGAAAAAGCCTGTCCTTCCTTGGCGACACCCCTCCCCCTTAACTGCGACACGCACATGTAGGTGTATGTGCCAGAGGGACCTGGGCTTGGCATGTGCTCATTATCATTAGCATGTGTCTGAGCTAGCTTTGTACTGACACCTGTGGAAGAAAGGGCAGTGCCGGGGGAGCATGTGTAGGGATGCTGTGTGCCTTAGCACCTGGTGTGTGTGCAGGCTCTGAGGCTAAACCTGGGTGTGAGCCCCCTCTCCAGACCCTTCAGCACATTTGGGTGCTGCAGTTTATCCACCACCTTCTACCCAGGGGCATCCTCCATTCTGCTGCAGGAGGGAAGAAGAGTCAAGAGCGTCTTCTCAGAGCTGTCCTCCCTCTGCTTGGGCTCCAGCTCCCATTTCCTCCTACGCAGCAGCCAGTTTCAGGAGCCTCTTCTTCACCCCCCCTGCCAGCCCCAGCATGTGCCTTAGGGTTGACCCTAGTCCCTGGCCCTGCAGCACCCCCCCCCCACATACACCCCAGGTTGATATCTCTTTGCCATAAATGCCCTTTGTACGTGAGGGTGGGGATTAGTGAGGTTGGTGGAGGAGGAGGTCAGGGCTGTGTGTGGGGGGGGGGGTGGGGGGAGGTGGGTAGCAGCTTTAAAGGTCGTCTGCAGGAAGAGGAGGCCCCGTCCTCCTCTGACCACCCACCCCCCATCTCTTCCTCCTAGTGACTCAGGCCCTAGCTCTCACATGGGGCCAAAGATACGTGCCCCTACCCCAAGCCTGGCATGTGGACTGAGCTGCAGTCTGTGGATTAAGAGAATGGATGTGAGGATGGGGACAGACTTGTCCCAGCAGGCTAAGCTCTCTACCTATTTCCCACGTGCCCCCTTACCTATCTCCAAATGGCACCTTGCAACCCTCAAGCTAGCCCCTCCGCTCTCAAAGATGGAACCCCATAACACTGTGTGCACCTCCTGGGGCTCAGTGACCTTCCTGGCCCCGTGTCCTGTGCCCGCTGCTCTGTGGGCTGCAATCTGACCGCAGGGTGGAGGGGGACGATAGGCACCTGCTCCTGCGCAGAGCGGGAGCGCCCGAGGATTCAGCACCAGGCGGTGGACAGCTCCGGGACAGAAGCCCCGCGAAGAACCCGAGCCAGAGGCGCAGGGCGAGGAGCTGTGTGCCGGAGTCTGGAGGGAGGCGGAGGCCGGTTGGGAGCGGGAGATCCGGAGTGGGGAGGAACGGAGGAGGGGCTGGGGGCGGGCCAGGGCCAGGGGCGGGGCGGGCTGCGATTGAAAGCGGCCGGGCGAGCGGCCGGGCGGAGAGCGCAGAGCTGCTGAGCGAGGGAGCAAGCCTGCGAGCGAGAGCTGGAACCCTGCGCCCCGGCTCCTCTCCGTTTCTCTCCGCGCCGGAGTCGGGCACGCCAGGTAGGGTAAGCCCGTGGTGCCGCGGCCTTCGCCGACCTTATCAATCCTGACCCCATGTCCCGGAGACCCGCGGGCCCTCGAGTTCTGGGGCTCCCGGCTGAGGCGTCCAGACATTGCTCGCCAGGAGATCTGGGAAGCGGGAAGACAGCCCCAGGCATCCCGCCTTTCTTTCCCAGAGAACGTACACCCTGCATCACGCTCCTTCGTTCTTCCTCTCCTTCCATCCTTTGGTCTGTCTTTCTGTCTGTGCCTCTTTGTGTCAGCCTCTTGGGCTCAATCACTCCCTGCCCAGATTTCGTGGCCCAGGCCCCCTGGCTGCCCCCCTCTGGGGTTCTCTCTCCCTTCAGGGTATTGTCCCTGTCTGGATTTTGGTCCTGGCTGCCCCTGTGGGAGGCTTGTGGTCTTGACCAGTTTGGGCCTCAGCCCCCATCTGGGTCCCTTCACCATCTCTCCTGGTCTTCATGCTTGCCTCTTTCTCCTGGTTGCCTGGTTGAGCTGCTGCTTTCTGAGTACCCACAGGATCCCAGTCCCCCTGCCCTGGCACCAAGGGGAGATTAACCCTGAGGAGTTGAGGGACAAAGTGAAGAATCCCAGTCTCTCTGACCAGGACATGGGGTCCTTGAACTAGTGGCTGTCCTTCTTCAGCCTCAGTTTCCTTCTAGCATTCCCAAGCCTGTATGAATGTGAGAGCCTTGTGGGGTGAGCATCTGGGAGGGTAGCTGGGGTACAAATGAAGCGCAGAGTGGAAGAGGGAAGGAGGAGTCCCCGAGGGCCAAGGCCAGGGCGGACAGGATGGGGAGAGGATGAGGATAGGGAGATTAGAGATGATGACTTTCTCTGCTTGGATCTGAGCTGAAGAAAAAACAGGGGCATAAAGTCTCAAACAGCATTCTATGCAGAGCTAAGGTGTCCAAAAGTCTCACCTTGAGCACTCTTTTGAGATTCTGACCAGATGAACTGCCCCTGACCCTGGACACATGTATGCTCGCATCTACTTTCCCTATTGATTTAAGACCTGTGGCCACTTCAGTGTCCCTCCCTGGGGCCAACCTCTCCACCTTGCTGTCAAACTCCCAGGGCCTAGAGTCTCTATTACTTCCTCAGTCAGCGGGCTCTGGGATGGATTTTTAAGAACTGGGGGCTAGGACCCTTGAATGCTCACCTGGGCTCCAGTCTCTCTAGATGTTGGAAACTACCCTTTGGAGGCCTTTCCTTCCCTCTTCCCTGGTGGGTTTCAGTCACAATTGCCCATCTCTGGAAATGCAAGGCTCAGGATAGGGACTAGACCCCCAAGTTTATACTCTAACCTGGCCTGTGCTGTAAAGGCATAGACTTTGGGGTCCTAGGAAGTTAGTGCAAGGTCTTGTACACTCTTTGATTTACAGCAGGATTTGTGTTGGCTGGGGTCTCCTGACTTCTCTCTGCCTCCCTCCCTCTCTCCTGAGTATTCAATGGGCACAGAGCCCATCTACAGACCCAGATCAGGGCAAAGCTGAGAAATAGGCCAAGGGATGTCCGGGAGCTTCTCAGCCTAGTTTGTGATACTACCTCTCCCTGGCTCCCTAGAAAAGTCCCGAGGGAAGGGAATTGGGGAAGGCAGAGTCAGAGGAGTAGCCACTCTTGGGTTCCACTTCTCCCTGTTTGTCTCTTTCTCTGCAGGAGCTGGGCCCCTTCTTATCTTTCTTCCTGCCTGTCCTTTTCTGGTCCCTGTTTCCTCCTTTCTTTGCCTTTGCTGCTTCTACCCTCATTCCCTGGAGGCCCGGGTCTGCTGGACCCATCCATCCCCTTTGGGACTATGGGATCACTGCTTGGGTTCCTGGCACTGCTGCTATGGGGCGCTGTGGCTGAGGGCCCTGCCAAGAAGATGCTGACCCTGGAGGGGGACCTGGTGCTGGGTGGGCTGTTCCCGGTACACCAGAAGGGTGGCCCAGCAGAGGAGTGTGGGCCTGTCAATGAGCATCGAGGCATCCAGCGCCTGGAGGCCATGCTTTTTGCACTGGACCGCATCAACCGTGACCCACGCCTGCTGCCGGGTGTGCGCCTGGGCGCGCACATACTCGACAGCTGCTCCAAGGACACACATGCCCTGGAGCAGGCGCTCGACTTCGTGCGTGCCTCACTTAGCCGTGGCGCCGATGGCTCACGCCACATCTGCCCCGACGGCTCTTACGCCACCCACGGCGATGCTCCCACTGCCATCACTGGTGTCATTGGCGGCTCCTACAGCGATGTCTCCATCCAGGTATGTGGGGGCTGCCCAACTGTGGGCTGGGGAGGGAGTCTGGAGGCAGAGCCCAGAATTCCCTCTGAGCAGGGGCTCCAGGCTGCCATGCATTGGAAAAGGTGCTAGGAGCTTCCTTTAAGTAGCTTTTTGTGGAATACTAAGAAAGTGCCCCTGTCACATAATGGGGGTTGATTTTTAGCAATTGTGTAGGGAAAACATCCCGCTTCCAACACACACACACACACACACACACACACACCCGAGGTTAAACAGCCCTGTGAAGCTTAGTAGCCAGGCCTCTTGAGTCAGAACTCCAGGTTTGAACCCTGGCTCCCCTGTGTACTACGTGACTCTGGGCGTTATTTCTCCCTCTGTGCCTCTGTTTCCTCCTTAGAGAATAACAGGACTCAGAACACTTGCCATTCTTAGGGTTGTGTTGGAAATTCAATGGGATAATACATGAAAACCATGTATTGGAGGCATACTCAATATTAGCTGCTGTTATTAGTACCCCATTTTATAGATGGTGGGTGCTGGCAAAGTGAAGACATTCCCCTAGTGCCCTCGCCCAAGGGCCTCCAGCTCTGTCAGATCATCTCTCCATGGGCTGGAAAGAGGTGGAAGATAGAAGCCAAGAGCAGCCCAGAGAAGAGAAACAGGGTTGGGGACCCCAGAGGAAGAGAAGCAGAATGTGTGTGGCAGGGGGAGGGTCTCCTTGGGTCCTCAGGGTGTACAGGATTTGAAGGGATGGCAAGGTGAGGGAAAAAGGCCCTCCCTCCTCCTGCTTTCTCACAAGAGGTAAGCAGAGGGTACTGGCCCAGCTGATAACCCTGGGCATGCCTGGCTGCTTTAGCCCAGGTTGGATCTGCCCCTTCCCAGACTGGGTCCCACCTCTTGCCTGAACCCTTACCTGCCTGGTGTCCAGAATAGGCTCCCAGATGAGGCCAGAACTGGGATCAGAGTCGGGATTTGCAAGGAAGGCCTTGGCTGGGGCTTTGGCTTCTTTTAGGAGGCTGGCTGAGGGCACTGGGCTGAGGGCACTGCAATCAGAGGCAGGGCCAGGACCCCTGACCTGGAATGCTTGCTTATTCAGGAGAAATGAAGCAGGAGTCTGAACCATGGAGGCAGCTTCTGGCCTGGGATCAGGCAGTCCTGCTTATCCCCCTACTGCAGGCAGTGAATTACCAGTTCTGCTAGTCCCAGCTACAGGAGGTGGCCGGTAGCAGCTTAGGTGTGGCTGTGTCGGCACCTACATCTGCCGCCTCCCACCTGCTGTCGTCTTCAGGGGCCTCTGGGATGCCTTCCTAGCATCCACCCTCTCCACAATTCTCTTCAGGGCTCCATGCATTCATCTCCAGGAGCCCGGTTACCTTCCTCCCACCCTAAGCTGTCTGCCTCCTGTAGCAGGGCCCACACTTCAACATCGGTCTGTTTTTTCCTTGTCTGAGTCAAAACAAGGCCCAGCCCTTCATCCTTAGGCTGCACCTGCCTGTTCATCATTCCTCCTTATTCCTGCCCTTTCTCTCCTGCCCAAATCCCTCTAGTCTTCCGTATGCCAGGCACTGTGGCCTCACAGGGATTCTCATTTTTATCTGCTCAGCAGCCTTGTCAGGCACGAATGAGAAACTGAGGCTCAGGGAGGTTTGCTAACTTGCCCAGGGACACAGAAGCAGAAAGTACAAGACGAGAGGGCGTTGAGACTGTCAGATTAAGAGCCTGTGTCCGAGGTGCAAAGACAGGACCTAGCTCCCTCCTGTGGAAACTGGGCTTTGTCCTGCTCTCACCTAACCATCCCACCAGGTCCTTATCTGGACCCCACTCTTGGGGTCAGGACCCAGGCAGTCAGTGGTAAGCAGGAAGCCTTGTTTATTTCAAGCTCAGCCATCCAATGGAGACCAACTCTTGGGCTCTCAGGGCCATAGGTCCCACAGATCTGGGTCTTCTTTCCTGGGGAAGACTTTTCCTTCTTTATCCATCATTCCATCAGGATGGACTCTGGGAAAAGGATACCTGCTCCACATAGGTAGAGAGCCTTAAGAGCCCTGAGCATCCCAGATGCCAGTTAGTGCCCCTACCCCGCCCTGTGCAGCCAAGTACCAGCCTCTTCCCAGTCCTGGATTTGGGCCTTCTACTTTTGCTACTGCTATGCATCTGAAGGGGGACAATAGAGGGGTTCTGGTGTGGCTCAGGAGCCTGGTGCCTCAGCCCTAGGTCCTCTCTCTCCCAGCCCTTGGGAAGGGGTGGAAAACTCCCTGCCCCCAGAGGCAAGACACATCAAGACAGAATATAGGTCTTTGGGGTGAGGAAGACCTCAAGGCTGACTACACAGACACTTGATCCCAAGGTGGAGTAGCTGTGAGGAACACATCTGTCTTTGGAGTTTGACCTGATCTCTGATCTTTGCCGGCTCCACCTTTCCCCCAGGTGGCCAACCTCCTGCGGCTATTCCAGATCCCACAGATCAGCTATGCCTCCACCAGTGCCAAGCTGAGCGACAAGTCCCGCTATGACTACTTTGCCCGCACAGTGCCCCCCGACTTCTTCCAAGCCAAGGCCATGGCTGAGATCCTCCGCTTCTTCAACTGGACCTATGTGTCCACTGTGGCATCCGAGGGTGACTATGGCGAGACAGGCATCGAAGCCTTTGAGCTAGAGGCCCGCGCCCGCAACATTTGCGTGGCCACCTCAGAGAAGGTGGGCCGTGCCATGAGCCACGCAGCATTTGAGGGGGTGGTGCGAGCCCTGCTGCAGAAGCCCAGTGCCCGTGTGGCTGTCCTGTTCACCCGTTCTGAGGATGCACGCGAGCTCCTCGCGGCCACCCAGCGCCTCAACGCTAGCTTCACCTGGGTGGCTAGCGATGGCTGGGGGGCCCTGGAGAGCGTGGTGGCAGGCAGCGAGGGGGCCGCTGAGGGCGCCATCACTATCGAGCTGGCCTCCTATCCCATCAGCGACTTTGCCTCCTACTTCCAGAGCCTGGACCCCTGGAACAACAGCCGGAACCCTTGGTTCCGCGAGTTCTGGGAGCAGAGGTTCCACTGTAGCTTCCGTCGGCAAGATTGTGCAGCCCACTCGCTGCGGGCCGTGCCTTTTGAGCAAGAGTCCAAGATCATGTTTGTGGTCAATGCGGTGTATGCCATGGCCCATGCACTGCACAACATGCACCGAGCCCTCTGCCCCAACACCACCCAACTCTGCGACGCAATGCGGCCTGTCAATGGGCGCCGGCTCTACAAGGACTTCGTGCTCAATGTCAAGTTTGATGGTAATGGGGCTGGCCAGAGGCCACCGGGCTGTTGGCCTTTGGAGGATGAGAGGGAGCGGTCCCCCACATTCCATTACTTGGCTAAGAGAATGTAGCCTACAGCAAGTAGGGGGGCCCCCAAGGGGCTGGCAAAGCCAGGATGAGGATGCCTAGACAGGGAGCACTCCCACTGGAGCCAGGACTGGGCTTCCTCTTTCTGGCCTGGTCCTACACTTTGAGGGTCTCTAGTTCCTGCTTAGGCCTTGCTCTCTTTCTCTCTCTCTCCTGCCTCTTTATCATGCAGGGAGTGGGAAGTTGGGGCCCTTCAAGCAAAACAGTGAGAGTCAGAATAAGGCTGGGTTGAAAGTGAGCATCAGGGGACACTCCATTTTCTGGGAAAATTCTATTCCTAGACCTGATTTTTCATTCAGGATGGCCACAGTCTCTTCATACCAAAATTTATTTTTATAGACATTTGTTTATTAATATTTTATTTATTAGACAGAGCACACATTCCACGAGTGGGGGAGGGGCAGAGGGAGAAGCAGCCTTCCCACTGAGCAGGGAGCCTATGATCCGGGGACCCCAGGACACGACCTAAGCCGAAGGCAGATGCTCAACTGACCTAGCCATCCAGGTGCCCCTATAGACTTTTAAAATATATATTTATTTATTTTAGAGAGAGAAAGTGCACATGAGTAGGGGCGGAAGGAGAGATGCAGACTCCCTGCTGAGCATGGAGCCTGATGCAGGGCTGGATCTCATGACCTGAGATCATGACCTGAGCCAAAATCAAGAGTCAGACGCTTAACTGAGCCACACTGGCGACCCCAAAACAGAATTTATTTTAGTCAGCATTCCAGCTTTACGAACAATGAATGCATCTGAATCATCACTGTGCTGCAGGAAGCGTCACTGTAGGAGCAGTGGGAGAGGGCCAGGGCCCCCAAAGCCTAGTGGCCCAGGGTTAAGACGAATAATAATTCCAATGAGATTGACATTCAGAGTTGTGGGAAAATTGGGGGAGAGGTTAGGATTGGATTCAGGTGCATCAGGTTGCTGTTAGAGCAAGGCTCCATTCAGCCTGTTGGGCTGGGTGGGATTTATGGGAGAGCTCGAGTTGGGTGCTGAGGACTTTGAGGCTGGCTGGAAGGAGCAGGGCCTGCAGGGACCTGCAAGGGACTCCAGGCTGCACCATTCACCATGGGGCCTTAAGCACATCATCTGCTAGTGCAAATCCCAACTTCTCACTGGGACCTGGGATGACAGGGGTCCCGCTTCCTCCTGAGCCTGGCTGGGAGATGTGAGGTTCCTGGGCAAGGAGAGACGGGGAGTAGAAGTGTCTTGTGAGCTGCCTGATGAGCACATCCTGGTGAACATCAGTGGTTATAGGTGACCACTGAGGTTGGGGTTCGGCTAGGATTGGGGTCAGTATTAGGACCAGAGGGGCTGGCTTGTCATTGAGAGGATTAAGTGGGACCAGGACTAGACCTGAGGCCGAGTTTAGCTGTGAGGGAGTCCCTGTTAAGTCTGGAGAGAGGGCTGTGGTGTGTGTTCTGATAAGGTTGGGGTCTGGATTGGAAGGTACTGGAGACTAAGTGTAAGGCTAGGTTTTGGGGAGTCACGGTTGGGGGTTGGTGTGGGCATTAGGTTTGTGGAGCTGCCTGGGCTTTGAGGTTGGGTTTCTATTTGGGGTTTAGAGTTGAGATTTGTTGTAGCTTCTCATCTAGAAAAATGGCTGGTGGGGGGGAGGCCAGCTTTAGTGTTGGGGTGAGGCTTGGGAGGAACAGGGAGTGGCCTCAGGTCTGGGGTTTGGGTTCCATCTAGGGTGACGGTTGAGGTCATATCAAGATTACCCACCAATCCTACCCTTTCTTCCCTCCCCAACTCCAGCCCCCTTCCGCCCGGCTGACACACACAGTGAGGTTCGCTTTGACCGCTTTGGTGATGGCATTGGGCGCTACAACATCTTCACCTATCTGCGGGCGGGCAGTGGGCGCTATCGCTACCAGAAGGTGGGCTACTGGGCAGAAGGCCTGACCTTGGACACCAGCCTCATCCCTTGGGCCTCACCCTCGGCAGGACCCCTGCCCGCCTCTCGCTGCAGTGAGCCCTGTCTCCAGAATGAGGTGAAGAGCGTGCAGCCAGGGGAGGTCTGCTGCTGGCTCTGCATCCCCTGCCAGCCGTACGAGTACCGGCTGAACGAGTTCACTTGTGCTGACTGTGGCCTGGGCTACTGGCCCAACGCCAGCCTGACTGGCTGCTTTGAGCTGCCCCAGGAGTACATCCGCTGGGGCGATGCCTGGGCCGTGGGACCTGTCACCATCGCCTGCCTGGGTGCCCTGGCCACCCTCTTTGTGCTGGGTGTCTTTGTGCGGCACAATGCCACGCCGGTGGTCAAGGCCTCAGGCCGGGAGCTCTGCTACATCCTGCTGGGCGGTGTCTTCCTCTGCTACTGCATGACCTTCATCTTCATTGCCAAGCCATCCACGGTGGTGTGCACCTTACGGCGCCTTGGTTTGGGGACCGCCTTCTCTGTCTGCTACTCAGCCCTGCTTACCAAGACCAACCGCATTGCGCGCATCTTCGGCGGGGCCCGGGAGGGAGCCCAGCGGCCACGCTTCATCAGTCCTGCCTCGCAGGTGGCCATCTGCCTGGCACTTATCTCAGGCCAGCTGCTCATTGTGGTCACCTGGCTGGTGGTGGAGGCACCAGGCACGGGCAAGGAGACAGCCCCGGAGCGGCGGGAGGTGGTGACATTGCGCTGCAACCATCGAGATGCGAGCATGCTGGGCTCACTGGCCTACAATGTGCTCCTCATAGCACTCTGCACGCTCTATGCCTTCAAGACCCGCAAGTGCCCTGAGAACTTCAACGAGGCCAAATTCATAGGCTTTACCATGTACACCACTTGCATCATCTGGCTGGCCTTCCTGCCCATCTTCTACGTCACCTCCAGTGATTACCGGGTGAGCTACCTGCTACAGAGTGGCAGTGGGGGTGGGGGCGGACACTGGACCTTCTGTTTCCCAGTGTCTTGTTTACTCTTCCGATCACTCTGAGGCTCCAAGAGGCTGGATGCTCACCACCCAGGGGCACACAGCTTGCAGTGACCCAGTTGGGACTGGACCCCAGGGGGAGGTGGGAAGGTTGAGTGGGGCCTTAGGCAATGGCTAAGGAGGTGGAGGAGTTAGAGCTAAGATTTCAGGACTCGGATGTCACCCTCGAAGCTCGAGGAGATGTATGTGCTGAAATATGTCCATATGAGCCGCCCTGCTCCACTGAGGTGTTGGCTGCAGAAGGGGAGACCTGGTCTAATGGGTGGGTGATCAGGGGATCAACTAAAGAACTAAGTCAGGAAATGTTGCTGACTTGTTTCGGTTGACAAAAGGTCCTGGGAAGAGCACAAAAGAGGGAGGGGTGTGTGTGTGTGTGTGTGTGTAGAGAGAGAGAGAGAATCATGGAGGGCTTCTTAGAAGAGGAGTCCTTGAATCGGGCTCTGCAAGATAGGCAGGTTTGAATAGGTTGGGTGGAGAAGATAGTGGGGGGCAGCCAGTACAGAGGCTGACTGGAGCAGAGGGTGGGCACTGGCCTCCCTCGTTGAGTAGGGGAGGCACAAATGGTGGAAGGGAGGCAAAGGTGAGGGTGGACAGTGAGAGTGGGAATGGCGGGGCTATCAGGCTGTGCAGGCCCAGAGGGCACAATGCTCTGATGCCCCGCAGAGCCGTGGAGGGTGGCATGGCGGCCCCTGGAACTGTGCAGCTCTGGGGTTGAGGGATGGAAGCAGGGATGGCAGAGAAGGTGAAGCACAGAGCAGCAACAGATCAGGGATCTAGGGCTGAGGACGGTAAAAGCAGGAGGAAACTGTGCCCCAGTTTGTGGCTTCCAAGCAAAGTTCCAACTGGCACTGAGTATCTCAGTAGGTCTCCTCAGCTTCAAGGGGGCAATGGCTGCTTCAGATGGGGTGGTCAGGGAAGACCTCTTTGAGGAGGTGAGAGGTGAGCTGAGCTCTGGACAATAAGAGGATCATTTTGGTGAGTCCTCACGATGCTGGAGTAAACTCCATGGCTCTCCCCATTTTACAGACGAAGAAACGGAGACTCAGGGAGGTTCAATCCCTTGCCTAAGGTCACTCAGCTTGGGAGTGTAGAGCAGGGTCTGAACTGACAATCTTAACAATTAAAGGAGCAGGAAAATCGAGACAAGAGCCCCTGCAAAGGCCCTTTCCCCCAGGACAGAGGTATGGTGGGCAGTGCTGGGGGCCAGGGCGGCTGGGCTTGGCTGCTATTGCACCTGCTGGGCCACCTGCCTGGTTGGTGGAGGCCAGCGCTGGGGAGGGAATCTGCTCGGACTCAGCCTGCATTTGCATATGATTTGCATTTGCATGCCAATCCTAGGTGGTTAAGGACTGACCTGGACATGCACAAGTACCTACACATGCACACATGCGCATATGCACACACGCACACACACATACCTGCCCACATATGCATGCAGATACACACTTATACACACACGAGTACATACACTCCAATGCACACAGATACCCCTGCACCCTGCATGTTCATCCCCTCAGCTAGAATTTTCATCTCCCTGGGAAGGTGGTCCACGGGCTGACGCTGGGACTGTTCCCACCTTCCTAGAAATCCTTTGGGGCTTGGCAAATGGACCAAGGCCCGGTGTTGGATGCTTACCATCTCCCCCCGCCCCCAACCCCACAGCCTGGGCAGGGGTCCTGGGGCCAGACTCATCCTTGACTTCACCCATTCCAGGTACAGACCACCACCATGTGCGTGTCAGTCAGCCTCAGCGGCTCTGTGGTGCTCGGCTGTCTCTTTGCGCCCAAGCTGCACATCATCCTTTTCCAGCCGCAGAAGAATGTGGTTAGCCACCGTGCGCCCACCAGCCGCTTCAGCAGCACCGCCACCAGGGCCAGCTCCAGCCTCGGCCAAGGTCAGCATTCACCCTAAGCAGCTCTGGCTCCGCCTCAGCTCCTCCGCATGGGGGTCACTGCTTGGGTTCCTGGGATTCCTTGGCTGGAGGTGGAGTGCTCCTTAGATGAGGCTGGACAGGAGAGGGAGTGGTGAAGGGGGGAGGAAGCCTCCCTCCACACTCCTGCCTCCTCTGCAGCCCACTCTCTGGGAGGGACCTCAGGCTTGGCCCCAATCTCTGGCTTCCTTTCCTAGGGTCTGGCTCCCAGTTTGTCCCCACCGTTTGCAACGGCCGTGAGGTGGTAGATTCAACAACATCGTCGCTTTGAGGACCCCACATTCCTGCCCCGACTCAGCTGCTCCCTGGGACCTGGGGCAGACCCGCATCCAGGGCCAGGAGGAAGTCAGCTGGAGCACTGCAATAATGCCAACCCCACGCCCACCCAAAGCCACTTACCCACTGACTCCAACCCTTCAGAGTCAGAAGTCAGGGTCCTCGGCCCAGGCGCCTCTGCAATAGCCACCAACTGCCCTTGCAGCGTGTCCCCTCCTTGCTAAGCCTAGGACTCGGAAGGGAGCAAGCCAGGGTCTACTCTGCCCTGGAACGGGAAGGCTGAGGACTGCCGGCTCCAATCCCCGATCAGCAAAGGTGCTTCCAGCCCCGCCCCTCCCTCCTTCTAGGGCCTTTTTAATTTTTTACATAAGTTATTCTGGGATGGGGAGGGGGGTTCTTGTGGGGGCCATCCCTCCCCCTGCATAGTAGTTTGTCCTGTGGTTTATTTTGTACTATCTGTAAATAAAGTGTCTTTATTAAAAAAAAAAAAAATCACTCATTACCTTTGACCCAGGGAGACCCCTCGTGTCCTCCAGAGCCTCCCAATCTTCCTTTCGATAGTATTTGTTGACTCTGCTCTGTGCCAGATGCTAGGATCTGGCGGCCAGCAAGACAGACCCAGCCTTGCATGATGGGGAGACAGAAAATGAAAAGGAGCCCCTGCAGAGTGGCCGAGGAACCAGTGGGGTGATGGCAGGGGGCTTCGGTGGACACAGGCTCATCCGTCAGTCCAAGGGAAGACCTGGATGGTGTGGGCAGTGGGGCTGGAGGGACAGCTGACTGTGACCGGTAACTGTGGGCTTTTCCACACTGGCCTGCCTGGCACTTGGAGGAGCCACCAGTTAGCACGGAGGCAGGCTGAGTGTTGGTGTGGAGGGAACCAAGAGGAGACACAGTTGAACATGGCCTGTTCATGTAGCACGTACAAAGCGGGAAGGAGCTCAGGAGGAGGGAAGAGAGGAAGCAGGAAGAACGGAGGCTGGGCAGCTGGAGAGGCCATCTGCTGTCGGACTCTGGGAGAGGTGGGAGAAGGGCCCTTTCTCTGGTCTTGGAGGAGCTCTCACCCAATGGGTTGTGGAGCCCAGAGCCCTCGGGCACCCCCGGTTGCAGTCTGGGCTCACCAGCAGAGGGCGCAGTGGCAGGCCTCGACCATGGGGCTCAGCCAGGTAACCACTGCCCTCCTGTGGCGTAGGGGCCAGTGGGCGCAGAACCCAAACGGGAGCAGATCCTGGCAGCTTCTGGGGACCCCCCCCCCACTGCCGCATCGCGGAGGGACAAGTCCTGTGTTGGGAGATGGGCAGGCCAGGGACATCGGTTATTTTGAAGCTAACTCATTTGCATTTACAGGCCCGCAAGTCTGTGGAAATTTGGGTTAACAGTTTTAAAAATGTAAACAAAAAACTGAAAAAGAAAATTGTAGAAATGGCATTTCCTCTCCAGCATACTCCTAAAGTGTAGGGCTGCCACATAACATGCAGATTGCCTAGTTAAATTTGAATGGCGTGTAAACAACAAATGATTTTTTAGTATAAGTATGCCTCGTGCTACATTTGGGACATACTTATACTAAACATTTTTGTTGTTTATCTGACATTCAGATTTAACTGGGCATCCTGTATTTTCATTTGCTGGTTTTGGCAAGCCTACTGGAGTGTCTCTTTTCCAGCTTTCGGGTCTTGCATGACCCAGGCCTGGGGGTAGCCCTCAGTGTCTGAGCACCGGGGCAGTGTCCCATGGGACCTGCGGTGCTGGTCTCTGCTTCCAGTGTGGCCTTTTCTGGGTCTCCCTGCCAAACCAGACCCAGGAAACATTTGCCCATCTTCCCAGCCCCTGGACAGGCCAAGATGGGCTCTGATGCTTTTGCATGGGGAAAGCAACCCTCCTTTCCATGGGTTCAGCTATTTACCTTAAAATGTAATAATAACAATAACTTTTAAAAGGTAGTAATTAACATGGTTCATGGCTAAAGAGGTATAAGGGATAGTCAGTGAAGAATTTTCTATCTCTGTCACCCATCACCTGCAGCAGGAGGTGGATGAAGAGTTCCTGAGGGTCAGTCCTGACGTCTGTCCACCACACCCCTTTCCTTCCACCGCCACCTGTGCCTTGCCTTGCCCCCGCCCCCAGGCCTCCTCCCGGTCCTGACCGGCCTGGGCTTATGTATCTGCTCTCCTCCTCAGTACCACATCCATGTCCCATGAAGCCCTGACACCTCTGGGAACCCGGTGGGGTTCCTGCTAGGTTGGCCCAGCTACTGTGAGACTTGGAGTCCTCCAAAGAGAGCCTGGCCCTTTCTGGGGTCTGACAGCAGAGATGCCAAACATTTGGGGGTTCTCTCCACCCAGACGGAGCTGCCCATCATGGTGAATTGACTGTCCTTGAACCAATCAGTCTGCTTTGCTTGGGCAGCCGAGTTTACTGTGGGGCACTGTTGTCTCTCCTGTGGCTTGGCTCACAGCCCCTCCCTGCCCCTCTGCCACCCCTTCACCCGTACCTTGTGGTCCTGGGCAAGCTACAGCAGCTTGTCTGGGTGGGCCTGGCTCTCTCTCTCAGCCAGGAGGTCCTATGGCTTGGGTGAGGCCACTCTGTTCCCTGCTCCCCCAGTCCTGGCACAGAGTAGGGGAGAGTGAGCCCTCTCCAGAGAAGACCCTTGAGATAGGATATTGAAATCTAAGAAGTTGGTGATGTATTGAGCAAAGGTGTTGGAAACAAAAGAATAGAGGTGAGGGGATGATGTGGAGCCTGGGGAAAGATTCAAGCTCTTCCACATCCCTGGGTCCTGTGGGGAAACTTGCCCCAGAGCTACCTTCCTGCCAGGGTTCTCTCTCCATTCCTCCCACCCCACCTGGGCTGCTCTCGCCTCCTCCCCTGGTGTTGGGGGTCATGAGAGGCAGAGGGGAAAGGAAGGGTCACTGAGGTTCTCAAAAAAACCTTCTGAAAATGTTTCCACCCAACCTCCTGCAGAAAAGGAAAGGAGCCTGGCCTCCCTACCCCCAGGGACCAGCAGGCGATTAAGTACTAAAGATGGGGTGTCCTCAGTCTGGGGGAGAGGGGCTAGATCTGGGGAAAGAAGGAGAAAGAGAAAGGTGGGAGTCAAAGGGAGGTGAAAAGCTGGGTGGGTGCAAAGGGAGGTGGGAGAAATGGGGGGAGCAGTGGCAGCCGGAGAAGAAAGTAAAATAGAGGCTTTGAACCCCAAGGGCTCTCACCAAGAAGTCAGGTTTGTTTGCTTGTTTAAGAAAAATCACTTTATTCTTTTATCGAAACAATATATACTCCCTATAAACAGTTTAAGCATTGCAGAAAAGTAAAAAAAAAAAAAAAGTATTAGCTCCAGTTGCATCATTCAAATATAACCATCATTAACATTTCTGGTACAGCATCCCACACATATTTCCATGCATTTTTACAGATAGGAGGAGGGATAGAAATACTTTCATAAAAATGGGATCATGCCATATGTCTATATTTTGTGTGAAGATTTAATTTTACTTGATTCTAATTGAAGAAAATGAATCTGAAGTAAAACTGAAGGAATTCTTGAACTTCACGGACATTTCTTCAACATGCAAGAGATTTTCCCCCTGAAAGATCCCCGTGAGTTGAAGAGAGAGAGTGACATTTAGAGATAAACATTCCGGTAGTCTCAGGGAATCTGAGGAGAGTCTGACCCTGTGGTTAAACTTGCCCCATGAAGGAGAGGAGGGTGGGCCCTTCCCGATGCACACTGCACCTGTCCCGGGGGGATTGTTCTCTACACGGCCACAATGCACTGTCACACAGAGGCAGACGCCCCCAGGGGCCCGGTGGCTAGCGTGTATTTGTATTTCAGCCACGCCACCCACTCACGTCGGTTCCCATCCCTCAGGTGTGGTGGCATGAGACACCGTGTCTTGGCATCTGACGGCTCTGGGGTGCGGAACTCCCTGGGGTGCATCCTTTCTCCAGGCAAAATAAACCGAGTGCTGGGGCAGCCTCTTGGTCACAACATCTGAAACTCACTCTGGTGGCCTTCCAGCATCATGGTGTTCTTATTAACCACAGTTTCATTGTAGACCATATGGACTGATTCCTTGTTGAGTAATTGAGAACATTAGCATTAGCTAGTAGTTTTACATTGTTCAGTTTGATCGCGTCCAAATTCTGTTTGGCAAGAGGAGGTCACTTAGTTATTCCGCATTCATTCTTTGTCCAATGTGTTCAAAGGTCGCTTTTGACTTACTTTTAATTGTTGGAATTTTATTAAGCAGTTTTTCTTTTTCATGGAAGGCTTGTGGCCCCCATATTCTGAGTTCTTTTATATTTGACAAGGCCCTTTCCCCCCATGTTCCATGAATGTTATTACAAAGATTTTGTCTTATTAGCTTATTTTACCATTTTTTTTACCAAATTTTAATGTAACTCATCTTAATAAGAAGATCTCCTTGTCTGTAATGATTACTTCCCCTTTTTGCTATGAAAATTTTATTTACACATAAAAAAGTAGAATGCTTCCATGAACCCATACCTACCTTTTAGAATTATCAATCTCTGGCTAATATTTTTTCACATAGACGTCCATTTTTTCCTCCCACCACCTCCCAAATTTTTAAATATAAAATTCAGGATGTAATCTTATCCTTTTAATTAAAATAATATACAACATTTATTGAGCATTTACTGTGTTCTGGACACTCTTACTGTATAGATATATGTTATTGCACATATTGTACTTATGTTTTCATTTAATCCAATGTTAGGTGCATTCTTTTAATTTACTCATTTTACAGACATGAAACAAAAGTTTTATTGAAAAATGTACACATTTCGCAGAGGTAAATCTCAAATAATTTTTTTCACAAAGTGAACACATCTTTTAACTATCACCCAGATTAATGATGGGGGCATTTTCCTCTTAACTTTTTTACTTGAATAAAAATGGTCTGGTTTTAGTATATTGGGGTCCATGCTCTTTTTAAAAATTTTTCATGTTATTTTATTTTAATACACTTTACATTTTAAAACAACTTTTTATTTATAAGAAGATTGTAAAGGTAATACAGATAGTTCCTCCATGTCCCACACCCAGATTTAACACAAGTAAATTAGTAACAAATAGTAACATTTCTTACAATTACTGGGCAAATATTGATACCTTCTTATGAACTAAGAATCCATAGTTGATTCAGATTTCCTGGTCTTCCCCTAACACCCATCCTCCACTCCAGGATCCCACCCAGGATACCTTGGAGGCTCTGTTGAGGAGGTCTCGGGGAGCACGTGGCCAGTGGCTGACCCGCGAGCTGGATCCCGGCCTCAGAATGTGCGCGAAGCCCACCATCCCACCATCTGAGCCATTTTCAAGCAGGAACCCTTGAGAGAGCAGCGTGGTGCTGAGAGCTCCGGAACGGGGTTTGTGACTGAGGGCTAAGCCCTCAGATCCCAGTTTTGCAGGGTCCCAGATAAGCCTGGAGTCTGTAAGTGTGCTTGCTTTTTTTTTTTTTTTTTAAGATTTTATTTATTTATTTGACAGAGACACAGCGAGAGAGGGAACACAAGCACGGGGAGTGGGAGAGAGAGAAGCAGGCTTCCCGCTGAGCAGGGAGCCCGATGCGGGGCCCGATCCCAGGACTCTGGGATCATGACCTGAGCCGAAGGCAGACGCTTAATGACTGAGTCACCCAGGCACCCTGTGTGTGCTTGCTTCTTAAACGTGCCACCTACCGATCTGGAGAGGCCTGCCTCTTCCGTCCCTTTCTCCGTGCCCTTCCCAACCGCCACCAATTTTCCACCCAACAGGCTCCTCTTTTTTTTTTTTTTTTAAAGATTTTATTTATTTGACAGAGAGAGATACAGCGAGAGAGGGAACACAAGCAGGGGGAGTGGGAGAGGGAGAAGCAGGCTTCCCGCCGAGCAGGGAGCCCCATGCGGGGCTCGATCCCAGGACCCTGGGACCATGACCTGAGCTGAAGGCAGACGCTTAACGACTGAGCCACCCAGGCGCCCCTGGGCTCCTCTTTTTTTTAATTTGTGATTTTTTTATATATATCTCCTTCCCCAACCCCCACCCCAGTTTTATTGATATAATGGACACACATCACTGTATAAGTCTAAGGTATACAACAGAGTGGTCTGACTTATAAATATTGTGCAATGATTAGGGCAGTGATTTTAGTTAGCATCCATTACCTCATGGAGATAAAATAAAAAGGTAGGTGCCTGGGTGGCACAGTGGGTTAAGCGTGGGGTTCTTGATCTCAGGGTCCTGAGTTCAAGCCCTGCATTGGACTCTGTGCTGGGCACGGAGTCTACTTAAAAAAAAAAAAAAGGCAAAAGAAGAGAAAGAACTTTTTTCCTTGTAAAAACCTCTTTTCCTTGTGACAAGATCTCTTGGGATCGACTCTCTTAACAGCTTCCCTCTATACCACACAGCAGGTCATGCAGTGCGTGACATCCTAGCACTCCCGTACCTCCTAACTGGAAGCTTGCTCTTTCCACCACCTTCCTCCTGGCCCACACTCTTTCCCTCAGAACTCGGTGGACATTTATCTGTCCTCTTCTAGCCTTGAGTGTTGCTGTAGGGAAGTTTGATGCTTGTCTGATTTTAAAACAAATATTGAGTGGTATTCCACACGCTACAAAATGCACAGATTTTAGGGGTATGATTCTGTGGACTTTGACGAACGTGTACACTCAGGTAAACGTCACCCAAATCTAGACATAGAACTTTCTTGTTACTCCTGAAAGTAACCCCCCTCCCCACCTCCTGGAGACAACCATTGTTTGAT